GTGGGAATGCCAGAAGTGAAGAAGGTAGGCGATGGATTCTTTGGTTCTGCAGGCCAAGGCAAGTGTTTTCCTCGCTTGGAGGAGCTCACGTTCAGGGACATGCCACAATGGGAGGAGTGGTCTTGGGCTGATGGCCGACAGATGTTTCCCTGCTTGCGAAAACTTCAAATTGTACAATGCCCGTGGCTTAAGAGGACGCCTCCCCTCCCTGCTTCACTTCAATTACTGTCGTTATGTCAAGTCGGGTTGACCGAAGTTCCAAGATTATTGGAAGAAATCGATGGAAGTAGCATCGGTATGACTGTTTCAGAATTGAAAATATATAGTCTTCAAGTGGTTGAGCTGGAGGACATCCCAGAATGTGAGGAACTCCCTTGTCTTGGACAACTGCCGAGTCTCGAGGTTCTTCGCATCGAGAGAATGCCAGCAATGAAGAAGGTGGGCGATGGATTCTTCGGTTCTAGAGACCAAGGCAAGTGTTTTCCTAGCTTGGAGGAGCTCACGTTCAGGGATATGCCAGAATGGGAAGAGTGGTCTTGGGCTGATGACCGACAGCTGTTTCCTTGCTTGCGAGAACTTGAAATTATACAGTGCCCGCGGCTTAAGAGGTTGCCTCCCCTCCCTCCTCCACTTCAAACATTACATTTACATGAAGTCGGATTGACAGAACTGCCAGGGTTATGGGAAGGAATCCATGGAGGCGGCAATTGCATAACTGCTGCTCTTTCAACATTGAGAATACGTAAATGTCCAAATCTAAGAAATCTGGTAGAAGGGTTGCTATCGCACAGATTACCAAAAATCCGTGACATTGAGATAGCGGAATGTGCGGAACTCGTTAGGCTGCCGGTGAAGGAGTTTAAAGAACTCACCTCCCTTGCGAAATTGTCAATCCGCAGTTGCCCGAAGCTCTTGAGCATGACGCGAGATGGGGACAATGACATCCTCCTTCCACCCTCAATCAAGGAACTAGTTCTGTCTGACTGTGGGAATCTGGGAAAATTGCTACCGGGCTGCCTGCACAACCTGACCTCACTCACTCGATTGGAAATAGGCGACTACCGGTGCATAGAGTCTCTTCCAGCAACGTCGCTGCTTCACCTGAAACGGCTTAAATATCTGAAATTTTGGAAATGTGGTGAGCTGAGATCAAAAGACGAGTTGTTGCTGAACGAAGGGAATGAGCAAGTGGAGGGTTCGTCGGTAACTGAATTATGCATCGACGACACAGCCCTGTTCAAAGTATCGCTCTTAAGAAGGACACTTCCATCCGTCCGTGCTCTCACAATCTCAAACTTTCCTCGAGCGACGATGTCTGATGAGGAGGAGCAGTTGTTGCGAAGCCTCACAGCTCTCAGATCGCTAGAATTCTTCAATTGCGAGAATCTACAATCGCTACCGAGAGAGTTGCATGCCCTTTCCTCCCTCCGGCTTTTAAAAATAATTAGATGTCCGAAGATTCAGGTGCTACCTGAGAAGGGGCTACCGACGTCCCTCACGAATCTAATTTTCAGTTATTGCCATCGGATGCTGAGGGAGCAGCTGGAAAAGCACTTGGCCGAGATGAAGAGCTCGGGTTGATTTTTGGCTGTTGATCAATTGGAGATACGTGAAGGTACATCACATCCAACCATTGGTTTTTCGTTGTTTTCGGATGGTTTTCCTTCCTAGTCTGTGAGACCACTCGGTAATAGCTAGATTTTTATCCAAGAACATAAAACTAAACACAAGACTTAGTAAGGGTTTAATTGTAAAAGGTACAATTTATTTCATTATATTTATGTTTTTTATGGCTAGTTAATGGCAATTCTTTATACTATAATGATTTATATAATGATTTATGATCTGATATATGATTTTAGTTGTATTACGCTTGTATTGTGAAAATATATGTAAATATATGTTGCTTTTAAGAAAAAGTATGATAAACATTTTATTTAGTATTTAAAGTACATATAAAGTTTAACTTTTGTAAATTATATGTGTATAAAAAATTGATATTTATGTATATTTTAGAACGCATGCATTGAATGTTTACAAAATTCTTATGTTTTAAAAAATACTTAATTATGATAAATTTTGTCTGTATGAGAGTTACAATGTTTTCTTTGCTCAAATAAATTTTTTTTTTAATTTTCAGATAAAAGGAGTTGCTCTCGATATCATTTGAAGAACTATTTAAGCGGATTGTACCTTTAACAGTATTGTACATTTAGATTACTTTTTAATGTGCTATTTGGATTTGAATGTTATGAACTTTTAAGGAGTTATTGAATTTATTGTAGAATGTAGAAACTATTTAAAATTAGATATTTTGGTATGGTATGTCGTCAATTTTAAGTTCCTATATCTATCTTTTGTCCAATAAATGCTTTAATTAGGGAAACCATTATTATTCTAATTATAGAATAATTGTCATAAAACTTAAGTAGGTTCTCATAAGAATTTGTCTTTTGTTCTTACGAATCAAATTCTTTATTAATGTGGAACATTTCAGAACACGCAACATGATCTCTAAGCATGTTATTGATTATGAAGTTGATACTATAGCACTGTATCAGTTGACACAATAGAACTTTTCAATGAACATAATATATCATGTCAAAAATCATAATGAAATTATCATCTGCATTGTGAGAGGAGGTAGCAGGCTGACGTAACTTATCTCATGGTCATTTTATGGAGATTTAGGAGCATCTTGTCAATCTCATTTACCTCTTATTTGTTTCTTGAGATGGATTTTGCATCTAAACTCACCTCTTTTTTATTTCTTGACATGGGGCTGGCAACTCTTTTTTGTTTTAGCAGACATCTCTACAAATGAAGCGACTTACTTGTGGTTTGACGCAAAAAATAAGTAAGGATGATCATAAGGTACTTACCATATTAATTATAACTTACGAGTCATATGGAGCATATATGTTTGTATGGTAGAAAATATTTTTTAGAATACAAAAATAACAGAAAGAAGCACAAAAAAAAGAAGAGATATTGACCCTTAGATTATGCATTGGCACGAGCGACATGCACTAAATCACCCTTAATTAGGTGATTTGCATCTTGTCCACAAAGTATATGAGATCTACCCACCAATCTTTCAATTATTTGAACTTGTTCACTGATCATAAAATGCCAAGAACCAAACTGACACCAAATAATCCACTTCTTTGTTCTAAAAGTACAATTTATTAGTTAAAATGTAGAGTTAGCAAAAGAGCTCTATAGAACATTGCATAAAAAATTAATTAGCTGAGAGAACTACTCTTCTCTCTAAATAATATATATTTCTATATAATATAACGTATGTGGTCGGTCAATTAGTATTCTCATTCCTTTTTCTATATACATACATTATAAAAAAAAATCAAGACATATAAGGATATATCAAATATCTTCTAAATTTCTTATCATCCAAGAGGTAAGAATAATTTTGCATAAGATGCACACGCATACATTGGAGTCTGACTTAACGTAAATCATCTTGATTTCGTCCTAAACAACAACCGATAAATCACTGTTGACAATAATAATCTCACGATAAAAAAAACACTCTTCTTTTTCAACATACATGCACCAAGGTACACTAATATCATTTTTTAAAATAAATTTTATATCTTCATTGTCGATGACAATTAAGTCTAAAAAACTAGTATTGTAACTAAGACTTTAAACTTGAATCCGAAGATAGTGGTATTAATTTTATGTAGTGATACTATCTTAATTTGTTAGTAACTTTTGATAATTGTAAATCGGAAAGCTTTTTAGGATATGATAATTTTTTTATGGTATTTAGCAATGTATAGAAATTTGAAACTAAATCATAATGTACAAAATATTGAAATAACTTTAATAATATTAGGTGATAGTGACTAGTACTCGTTGAGTCGGACGTGGGCTTTGATCATGGTGAACATTAGCGTCGACGTCATGTTTCCATATGACCACAATATTCTGCACCGTGGTTTACAGAGGAACGACAGCTTGGTATCGACATTTTGAGAATATTTGGATGCACCTAATGCTATAGAACCGAAAGCTTATGTCTCTTTATTACAAAACGAGTGGCCATCCTTGAGTTATCAACTTACGAAGAATTGGTCAACAGATCATAAAAGAAAAGATCTGAGGCTCACATTTAAGTCTACACCATCACATTTAAGTCTTCACATTTAAGTCTTCCATGCAAAGAAGGCTTACAACCATCCAACCACCACCACAACATCAATAGTAGAAAAAGATGAGATGAGATATTTTAATTGTAGGAAAACTAATCATGTTTTCTCGAGTTGCTCGACGGGACGAATACGCTTCCATTGTCAGCATTCTGATCACAATCTAAAGGATTAATCGTAGAGATCTCACATCATTAATAGCTTGAAGGATAACGACGAAAACAAGATTGAGCTTTTGCTCCGACTCGTCACGATGCTCAAACTTTAGGATCAATTATGCAATGTATAATAGTAATTCGACACACTTTTCTATTCCACCATACTTTGCATTTAAGTTGCACGAAGTTTTTCTATATCTCGCGTTTTGAGCACATAACAAATATTTTGCCTATACTATTTACTATATAAAAAAAATACAAAACATGAACAAAACAATTTATTTCAGAAAAATGTTGTTTACAAGATGTGTTTATATTGCTTTCTAACATGAAAAAAAAATAATTTTTTTGATACATGAGTTATACTATTTTGAATAGGGTTATGTTGCTTTCTAATAAATGACCATAAATAATGTTAACCTTGTAAAAGAAAAAATCAGTGTGACTCAAGTGTTTTTAAAAAAATCATCAAGATTTCTTGGATATCAATGTAAAGTACAAGGTTTTTGAGTGAAAACAAGTAAACAAACCATTATTTGACCAAAAAATTTAAAAAAAAAAAACAATTTCAACCTTAAGTGGGATCAAATAATTGTCAATTCACATTTTAAATAAATAAAAAAGAAAAAAATGATCAAAATTCACTTAACTTATTCTCAAAGTTTAAAGGTGATTGGAGGGTGAGTTAGTAAAAAAAAGGCTTGATTTACTCTAATTTTAAATAAGATTTTATTGATTTTAAACAGAGGATCAAAATCAGTATAACCAATGTGGAAAATCAATGTAGTTGAGACCCTATTTTTTAAAAAATTCATCTAGCGTTTTTTGATAAAAATATTATCTAAAGTACTTCAAAAAGCATTAGAAAGTGATCAATACGAGATGATAGGAATCAACATGAAAACCTAGAGAATTTCTTGTGGAGGTACATCTCATCCAGAGAGCCTCAAAAGAGTTCCTTTACCTAGAGATACAAAGATATAAAGACAAAAATAAAATTGATCCAATAAGATTAAGAATTCTTATTGGTAGGGCAGCGAGAATGAGAGATTGCATCAAACCGTTTCACTTTAAATTGATTCTTTTTCTAGTTTAACGACTATTTACCTTAAGTCATTTTCTTCGTAAGGCTATGTTAATATCAAGGGTATTTATATTTTATAAAAGAAAGAGTATTATATAAGAAAAAAAAGAACATGAGACAATTCATTGAGATAAGAGAAAATAGTTTTTTTAGATAACTTATCCAATAATTTATATTAAAAAAATATATTCATCCCTCCGAAGTTTAAATTTGCATGTAAATCATTTTTCTACATCCTAAAAAGTATTTAGAGTGTATCATCTATTTTAGTAATCATTTATTTTATTTTCAACTCTATAGAAACACCAAATAGTATCATATATTAAATTATTAAAATAAATATTTTATAGATAGTTTTTGTAAAGTGGACTTCAAAAGGATTCCTTGTAGGTTCTTCTCGTAAGGGTTTGCACGTAGAGATATAGAGAAGGCGAAGATTAAGATATAAAGAAAAAGATAAAATTAACTTAAGGTTTTGGAGAAAGAGAGATATCGATAAATTGATTCATCAACAAGAGAAGAGAGAGAAAAAAAAAGAATCCATTCACTTTGAACTGATTTTTGGTTTTTTGTTTTAACCACTATTGACCCAACCATTTTCTTTATAGGACTAGGTCAATATCAAAGATATTTTCATATTTTATAAAAGAATAGATAGCACATGCGTAAAAAGAAATATGATACACTTGGTATGAGATAATGAAAAATAATTTTTTTAAGAGAAATATGATACACTTGGTGTAATTTACGTGCAAATCGTTTTATTACATCCTAAAAAAGTATTCATTCAGAGTGTATCATCTATTTTAATGGATATTTATTTTATTTTCGACTCTGCACCTACACCAAATAGTAAGAAGACACATTAAATTATCATAATAAACGTCAAATAGATAATTTTCTATAAGTTGAGTTTAATTTCAACAAATAAAAATAATTATTGTATCTACGACCCGAAAACGACTCTTATAGGCAAAACTTTGTTACCATATCATGCATCTGATTCTTGATAGTGAGATGGCTTAAGCGGACAGAAGAAAATTCGATAGAATTGCTTTGTCATCCTCGAAAGTCCTACAACCGGTCGAACTCACGCTCCCAGAAAACGAAAGTGGTGGAAAATTGGTTCCAATAATTGATGCTGCACCCTCCTCATGTGCGTAGCACGTGCAGACTCCAATAATTGATGCCGCCAACCGCCCTTCGAGGAGGAGAAGTCGTTGCAGCTGAAAATATCCATCTACTCTGAGAATCCTCTAACCTTTGTGCTTGGAGAAAGAAGGATCAGCCCTGCACTGCGATGTCGTCGTGGATATTAGCAGGCTTGGGATCGCTCGGATCGTCCTTAATCGGGAGAGTGAAGGATCAGATCAGCGACTATTTGATCGGAAGGGTTTTGGAGGAGCCCGGAGTTGCTGACCTCGACAAGCTGAGGAATACTCTTTCGGGGACTGAGCGCATCATCGGCAGAGTCGAGAACATGTGGATTAAAGATGAAGACACGAAAAAGCGATTGAAGGAATTGCTGATGAAACTGAAGGACACTGTTTATGACGCTGACGACTTGCTTGATGAGATCCAGTTCCGGGTTCTGAAGCAACAGATCGAGCTACAAGGAGCTCAGGGGTATGAGGCAAGTAACCAATCATCATCTTCTTCTGGTCTCCATCCGAGTAAAAGAAGAAAACTTTATGAACGTGTCGGTCGCTTCTTCGGTAGAGAAGATGATGTGATTAGAGTGGGGAAAATTCAGATGAAGTTAGATGAATATACTACTTACATCAAGGATTTCATTACTACAACAGATGCTGATGAGAAACAGATGATAACGTCAGTAGTGCCTCGAACCACCACTTCCTTTCCGATAGAAACTCAAGTATTCGGACGAGACGAACAGCTGAATCACCTTCTGGAACAGTTGATGAAATCTGCCGATGGATCCGGATCCAGCAACAGTAGCATCTCTACCGTAACTATTGTTGGGATCGGAGGGGTCGGAAAGACTACTCTTGCTCAGCAAGCCTACAACCACGAGAGGGTGAAGGACTATTTTCATCCTAAGGTCTGGCTCTGTGTATCGGATAACTTCAACGTGGAGAGGCTTACCAAAGACATCGTAGAATCCATAACCGAGGAAAAGTGTGATCTCAGCAACCTTGATACACTTCAAGTGGTTGTTAAGAAGAAGCTGACCTCAAAAAGATTCCTGCTTGTCCTCGACGATGTGTGGAACGAGGACGGCCTGAAATGGGAAAGATTTTGTGCATCATTGAGGTACGGAGAACAAGGAAGCAAGATTTTGGTTACAACTCGCTCTAAAAAGATTGCAGAAATGGTTGGCAAACCGATCCCTCTAGGAGGTCTGGATGAAGCCAGCTATTGGGAATTTTTCAAAAAATGTGCATTTGGTTCCGAAGACGCCGGTGAATTTCCACAGCTAGAAGCCATAGCAAAGAAGATCGCTGGCAGGTTGAAGGGGTTGCCACTTGCGGCAAGGACGGTAGGCGGGTTGTTGAAGGCGCAGATGAATGAGAAGCACTGGAGAAACATCGCAGGGAGTGAAATATGGCAACTACAGCATGACGAAAATGGTGTCCTGCCAGTCCTACAATTGAGCTATCAATGTCTTCCCCCACACCTTAAGCGGTGCTTTGTTTTTTGTTCCCTGTTCCCCAAAGATAATCGGTTTGATGGAGAGCACTTGGTCCAGCTTTGGATGGCAGAAGGCTACGTTGATCAAGACAATATGAAAGACAATATGACGTTGGAGGCTGTAGGAAGTGACTACTTCCATGAGTTAGTGAACAGGTCTTTCTTTCAGGAAGCTCCTTGGGGATCGACATATGTGATGCATGATTTGATACACGATCTTGCTCAGTTTATTTCAAAGGGAGAGTTTTGCAGGATCGATGATGTTGAGTCGAAAGAGATCCCTAATACAACTCGTCATCTATCAGCAACATTAACCGATGGAACTAAGTTAATGGAGCTCTCCTGTTATGATAAATTGCGGACCCTCGAGATCAATTCCAAAAGTTTTTGGTTTGACTTTCAAGACGAGAGCCCTTTGTTCATTCAGTTTGAAAAATTAAAAAACATTCGAGTGTTGATATTGCAGAACTGTGGCTTGCAGGAGTTGCCTGAGAAAATTGGTGGCTTGATACACCTCCGCTACCTTGACATATCCTACAACCGTTACATTAAGTGGCTGCCGGAGTCATTATGTGATCTTTATAATTTGCGAGTACTGGATCTGTATGAATGCGACCTGCAGAGTTTACCGCACGGCATGAGCAAGTTGATCAACTTGATGCATCTTAATGAAGAAGACAAAATAATTTCCGAGATAAATGATGTTGGGAAGCTGACTTCTCTTCAAGGACTGTGTTCATTTAAAGTACTCAAGGATAAGGGACACGAGGTTGCCCAATTAGGCGGTCTGAAACAACTTCATGGACAACTTCGAATTACCAACCTCGAGAACGTTGAGAGTAAACAAAAAGCAGGCATGGCTAATCTGAACAACAAACAGTACCTTGATGAACTAGTCTTAGAATGGACAACAGATGATGGCTTCAGTTTGGACGGCAATGAATTAGTTGTGTCGGAGGAGGTACTTGAAGGTCTCCAACCACATCAGGCTCTCAAACGTTTGACGATCAGAGGGTACATTGGTGTCAGATCACCCAGTTGGCTGCAGACACAATTGTTAGCGAACCTGATAACTCTTGATCTATACAACTGCAAAGCATGGGAGGATATTTCATGTATTGGACAGCTACAGAATCTCAAGAAACTTTCCGTGAAGGGAATGCCTGCAGTGAAACAAATAAGTCATGGATTAAGTACAGAGAGCAAGTTCTTGCCTAATCTGGAAGAGCTAGTGCTGGAGAACATGGTGGCATTGGAGGAACTCCCGAGTCTTGGACAACTGCCGTGTCTTAAGGTTCTTCGCATCGATCAAATGTCAACAATGACGAAGGT